TGCACACAACAAGTTAAAAAAGAAAAAAAATTTAAAAACGAAACAAAACGAAAATCAATCATAAGCTCGTGCAAGGGCCGCCGATAAGCGTAGACGAACTTACAACAGTGACTGACGAAAGTATGCGTCACTACAACACTTTTGACATTTATTACACTCTATGCGATTCCACTTCTCACATCTACTCCAACATTTGTCCACTTTCCGATCTCTCACAATCACAGAATTTGGCCTTTTCTGCAAACCTGATACTTCACTTGTAAATGCTAATCCAACAAAAGGCAATTCCTTTGAGATCATAGAGTCCCTTAACATGGATTACAAATTAAGTTGTTAGCATTATATCACAGAGCTTAAGGACATTTGGCTATAGCTATAGACAACCATAATCTACCCAAAATGTAATGTCAACTTGAAATAAAAATTTAATAAGTAAATAAATTTTCTTGGGTTAAGAAGAACGCCCACTTTGGTAATTCTTTTCAAGATTTCAAGATATCTCTTGCGCTTAAAATGGTTGTCCATTATGATGTCCTACTATGTTATACCATGTAGTAATCATTTATATGGCTTATTTTTTTTTAATTCTGATAAAGAACTGTAAATTTCAAAACATGGAACCAAAAAAATAACAATAAATATTATTTCAATTATAAAAACGAAAAAGAAAAAGAAAGTACAATGAAAAATTAAAATTACAAAATAATAATTATCTTTTAAAAACAAGTTAAAATTTTAAAGTGAAACTAAACTATTAAAAGATTTGCAATTTATATGAAACTATTTTAAATATTTTATTTTGACCATTCAAAATTCTGTCAGGGCCAAAGAGATGATTAAATTACAGTACAGCGATTTAAACTTAGTGGTGTAAAATATCTTGGAGGAACAGCAAAGAATTTATGTAACTAACAAGCACTGAAGAGTCTATATCACCAATTATTAATTCATGTATAAAAACAACATCTAATAAAATTCTACGATTAGCAAGTGGTGGAAGATCTAAGAGGTAAAGGGTCGAGGCGAAGAAAAGAAATTGTTTTTGTACAGATGACGGAATATGGTCAATTCACCATTAAAACCTTCAAGACTGAAACTTGTGCTTTAAAAAAAAAAACTCTAATAATACCGCTGAGTCTTTAATAATTATAAATATATTTTTCAATTTATTTTTAAAGCATTGCATTTAGTATGGCCCTGCGACTATGATTTAGATGGCACCAAAGTTCATTGGCCCAGCAACAACAATTGAGCAAGCTCTGTATTATACAAATACCTATGTACTAGACCGCATTCCTGGCAGCTCTGTAATTGAAACATTGCCACACCCACCTGCCTGTAGCTCAAGTAAACCAAATTTAATGTACTTTGTACCTTGCTCGTTTTCGTTAGAGCAAGAGCAACAACATACAGACATTCCTACATATATGTATATACGACTATACATACATACAATTAGTACACACTTGTATGTATGTACGTACAGATCAACAACATAAATGCTGAGCTTTGTGCTGGCCCCGTGCCAACCCACAAAACTTCCTCAGCGAATCTGAGCAAAACATGATAAATAAGTTAAAAAAAAGAAACCTTTCAATTTGGCAGAATTCAAGACGCTTAAGTAGATGTAGTATTCACAGAATATACATATGTAACTACGTGGCTACATACATATGGACATGTACAGGCATACTTGTATACTGGTAGTATGTCTGCTGTGGATTTAAAAAAGTTATCTTAAATGTTTGAGCAATGACCTCAACCGCTTTTCGTGTCAACTTTTGTGCGTGGCATTTCTTAGACAGACAACTGACATTATTTACGAAAAAACAAACAACAAACGCGAAAACGAAGCAAGACATTCAAAAATAAATAGAAAACTATAAATGCATATTTCAGTTATTGGACGAAGCTGGCATGCTCTAGCAAATACAGCGTCTGGATGTCTGGAATCGGTATCTTGGGAAGATGACGGCAGACTCTCCCATCAAATAAACAAGATGAGATGAAGAAATGAGGACAAGGTGTTCTGTATTTTTTTTGGCGTATTGTAAATTAATTTAATGATTAATACGATTAAAAAACATTAATATTATTTATAGTTTCAATGTAATTTGACTTGGCATTAAAAATAAATTATAAGCTTTTATAAAAGTTAGAGCTTCTTAGAGTTAAACAATGTTGGTCTGGATGCTAAATACTGATAAGTTTTGGCGTTTTTATTACCTTATCGATTAAAATGATCGTTTTCTGTTTCCTATACAATGCAATATATTTTTGATCAGATCTAGATAAAAACAAACAATTTATAATAGTTGGTGGATAAACTCAGTCTCGTCATCTTCTTCATCTTTGTTTCATAAACAACTTATCAATCTATAATGGATGTCGTGAAAGAAATTGTACCTTTATAAATACCTTTAACATTTTCTTGCCAGTCTGCAAGTGATTTTTTGAGATTAAGATTAAAATATGTTTCTTAATAAGAATTTAACACCTATAAGAGTCTGACTTATGCCTATACTATACTGCCATAAATATAGTTTTATTTTCGATTACTCTTTTAAATTGAAAAATAGAATATATTGCTATTATGAAGATGAAGAAAATCTTCCTCGATCTACAGGGCACTTAAGCTAGGCTCTAAAACGCTGGAAGTGCAAAAACTGTTTTATTATATGTATATATATAAAGTAGACAAAGACTTCCAAGTCGCATGAGATAAGAAGTTGTAATATCTGTTGAGCTGAGACTAAATCGTGCTACATAAGTAAATAGCATCGATTGTTCATCTACAAGTTTCATCTCATCTCTACTTATGCTTGGTGCCGAGCATGCCTCGCAGTTCAAAAATTAGTAAATGCTGACCAACATGCCACGCCCTCGCCCTCGTTGACGCCCTTGTCTCTGCCCTCCACTATAAAATTAAAAAAAATAATAAAAAAAAAAAAAAATTGAAAAAGCTTTGAGCCCGCCACCAGTTGAGGAACGTTAATATTTAAACGAGAATCAGCTTAAAGAATGCTCATTATACGTTGTTTTTGCATAATTGTGTTGTCTCTGTTGTCTCGGTTGTTGTTTAGCAGAAGATTGATGGATTTTAACGTTTTGGCACGAGCGGGCGACACGAATCGGGGCCGCTGGCATACCACCGCTGGAGACTGAGCTGACGGCATTCTTTAGCATATGAATGGAGCGCTTCAACTTGAGTTTTAGCTTCGACTTGAATTTGTGATAAAAATAGCCAACTTACAATTGATACACTATAAAGTAGCATGTGTGTGTGTGTGTGTGTGTGTGTGCGAAAGATATGGTGGGGTCAGTAAAGTGGTGGGGGAAGTAGAGACCCATTATCTCATGCGACAACGACAACTCGTTTGTTATCTCATCGCATTGAACGATGAAGCGACACAAAAATATCATTTATATCCATTTATATGGTAAATCGCGTGTTGTTCACTGAACATTAAGTCCGATACTATGAATAATGCATTTACTACATATGTACGCACATAAGAGCCCCCTAAGCCTATTAAAATCTTTTCCCATAAACGAAATTTTTTCTTTTATGGCCACCCTGTTGAGTTTTTAATACTCTTGCCGCAAACAAAAAAACAAAAAAACCAAAAATTAAGGAAATATCTGAGAAAGAAATAACCCATCACAAACTGCTCATAAAACTTTGTTGTTGTTGTTTCTTTTACTTAATTTTGGATGAAACATGCAAATAATTTGCACGCAAATTTTTGTTTTGTTTTCAAAATAGTCATTAAAAAGTAAGCCCAAAGAGAAATTAGTTAATGCAGAAAGCTAGAGCTTAGTATAAAATTCTTATGGGCTTAATAATACACCTTTGAAATTGGAGAGGTTTGTGGGCAAATTAATTGCGTGTTTGGCCATAAATTTAGTCTTAAAGAAACTCTGTACTTTTTGAAATAAACTTCTATCCTATATTATTTACGACAGTAATCCAACTCCTGCTCTTCCTTAACGAGACTTGTATTTTCGACAACAATTGCATATTTTAGACATTAATAATGCAAAGAGATTGATGGTTTTATGTGATCTATGATAGAAAAAGTATAGTAAAAATGTGGGAAGGTACAACTTCAAGAGTTAAGTTAGTAAGAAAACCATGGTATGCCTATGCTTTAGTTCTTCACAACGAAGAGGGAATTCTTTGAGCATAAATGCTAAGCTTGCGGGAACTAAGATCTAAGTATTTCCTTGTAAATGCTGTTTAAAACAAATTATCCCACAAACGAAAAGCAGTACCTGCACAACAAATAGTATTTTTTATGTTCAAGTAATATTTAAGAACCCACCCTAAGTGAAAATAGGCCTGCTTGACTTAATTGAAGGGACGTGTATAATGCTCTAACCTCTTCTGCCTAACCTTAAGTAACTTATCATTTAATCGTAAAAACCTATTGATATCCTATTGAAAACCTATTGATACCTATCTTATTCTTAAGTGATGAATTTTATATACTTATAACACTAGGAATCTATTATAAGCAAATATTGGCAAGATAATCTGAATGTTTGATCCTATTCATAAGATGTTTTGAATGAAATGGCTTTCTAGTTAGCATATACATATACACGTATACTCTATATTAAAATAAGGTAGATGGCGTTAATACACCAAAAGCAATTAACGGCACAGTCAGTTTGAGAATACTCTTAAATAATAATACCGCCAATTTTGTCGGAAATGAGATATCTACATGATATGCAAGCGATTGCAAATCGTATCGTTTATAAATACTAAACAACCTAAGGTTTGAGAAGAGTATTATATTTTCTACTTGACCGCATATTACCACGATGAGGTAGTTGTTTACACAGGTGTGGTATATCGATCGACGGATGTGCTTGATTAAATCCGTTCGATACAGGAATAGCTCTGACATTGGGACTTAACTGGAAAACTCATTCGACTAATATATGTATGTATGTACAAGTTCAAGTATTACAAGTATAATGATATAGTTTACCTTTTAGAAGTCCAATTTGATTTGTAAGTGTATTTAGTCTCTTAATGAGAGAGTTCTTCTTTGAGTTTTTGCTGTAAAAGCGCTGCTGACACAGAGGAAAGAAATCAAAAACAAAATGCATATGCAAAAGAAATAAATAAACAAAGTGTAACAACAATAAACAAAAAAAGTTTAATTCAAATGTATGCGTCGAGCAAATTTAATTGAAAAACAACAAAACCAAGAAGACGCAGAAGAAAAAAAATACATAAAACTGTTTTGCATTTCAAACTGACGCGACACGCATAACAAAAACAAAAAAAAATAATAATAATAATCGTAATAATAATATTTATACCGATGGCGACGAGCGGCGAAAATAACAACAACAGTCCGAAAATAAAAACAAAAACAAAAATAGGAACGCGTTACGCCCGCTTAATGATCTCTCAAAACTTGGGCTTGGGCTTCAGCTCGAGCTCGAGTCGAAGCTTAGGGTTTAAGGTTTCGGTTTCAGTTTTCGGTACTCGGTTTACGTTTTTACCAATTTCACGCACAGTTTGGCCGCGACTGGCGACTTGCTCGGCTCGACTTGAGACAATAACGGGAACGATGGCAGCGACGACGAAGGCAAAGACGACTTGGCTTGTTGAGCTCAAACCGAAGACTAGCAGCTGAACGCTAAGCTGCCGTCCGTCTTGCGCTGCTGTGGGTCTGAACTTGTTTCAGCTTTTGCCGAAAGCGACGACACGACTTCGTTTCCACTTCGTGTCGAACGCCAAGTCGCTAGTCCGTCGGCCCTTGTCATGTGCATCTGCGTGGTGAAGAGAAACTAAAACGTATATCACTGCGCAGCTGCGTGGTTTAGTGCTCTCTTTCTGTGACGTCACATAAGTGCATTCTTTAATTTGTAAAAGATTTCCTTCCTTCATCTATTTCATAACCTTATTGTAAGCAACATGTTCTGCAACTCTAATATTTAAATTCTAATTATTTTTGCAATATAATAAAGCTTGAAGTAAAAGTAGGCAGTCGCCTTTACACTTAACTGTTAACTAGCAAGGTACAGTTTTTAATTAAATGACAATAAAAGGCGCGCTTAGTCACTCATACGTGGCTTACGGGAAGCATCGTGAGCGTAAGAAACTCGCTGCTTTGAATGCCATACCTTCTCTCTCTCTCTTCTCTCCCTATATGATGATTCTGTTTCATTCCATATCGCACGAGGCGTACTCGGCTGCGCTTCGCTGATCGCATTCGCTTGCGGTTTCTTTTTGGGGAACACGATCGCAACTTACTTCTTCGCCCTGCCAGCATCAGCGCTGACGGCATGGCCTTTCGTGCTCGTTGGAGGCTCGCACGTCTCGCACGCCATTCCATTCCACTAAAGGCGACAAAATGTCAAATAAACGCCGATCCGATGCGATCCGATCCGATCCACAATGCTCCTACTCAGGTTTCGAGTTTTGCCCAACTGGTTTTCCAGTTTACAATTGCATTGCATTGGCCAATTGCTTTGGTGATTGCTTGGATCGCTTTTTTCGTTTTTCGTTTAGCTTCGCATCTAACTTACAAGCAACCTGTTCAATATTTACGCAAGTCTTCAACACAGACTATTTCTTCACGTCGCACACTCAAGTGTGTTCTAAAATTGCATACATTTACGAGTCAATCAACAATGTGTTTATTGGACAAGATTCTTCGAAGTCATAAATCGTAATTATGTATGTATCGTGATCAGTTAATAATGTTTTTAAACAGTTATCATTCAAACTGACATTTATGAAGATACAAACGTCTATTATGCACATTTATGTGGTGCTTTTGATTCCATATTTTGTAGACTGAAACTTTGAAACCATCTAGTGATGGAAATAATTTTAGATAGTCTGTTAAATAGTACAAAAATTTCGGCTTAGCTTCGTCTAGCAAAGCTATTAAATCAAACGCTCAAAAAGCCAATTGGAAACTATAGTACTTAGTAAACAAATAACAGGGAGTCAATCGTTGAAGTTCCTAAATGCTAGGAGCAGCCTCTCTCTTTTAAAAAAATACATATAACTAAGTGGGGACTTAGTGAAATATTAATAGCACTTTTATTTTCCGAAATTACGGACATGGCTATATCAACTCGTTTTGTCATACTGATCCCTTTTATGTTTCGCTTACACTTCTTGCCTAAGCAATCCATTAAGACCAGAGTAGACCTAGATTTCTATAGGTATTCGTTTTATATGATTCCTTCCATTTACAAAAAATCCACAAAAAGTGTAAATATAAAACAAGCTATCAGCAAGTTTTATTCGTATTGGTCCAGACGCACCTTAACGTCAGTTGTTTTTCGAAATGATCGATGAGTATGATTGATGATGAGATCATAAAGTTTGCTCGACTGTCGCACAGAAAGCGTTAATGTAATGTCTACATTGGCAGATGTTTTCAGCAATTGCCGATGAGTGTTAATGAAATCATAAGTCGATGTTTAAATAGTAAGCCTTTTTATTTTAAATACACGCAAAAATCCAAATCCAACAAATATATATGTAGCTAAACAAGTATTATACAATCAGTAAAAATCGACAGTCTACCTATTTTAAATAATGTCAGTGTTATATTTGAAGAACTTAATTTTTATATTTTGGTTGGCACGGATCTCTTTAAAATAAATAGAACCTAGTTATTGGGGAATAAAACTAAAACTCAGTAAAACTTTTTCCAAATGTTTAAATTGATGAAAAAAGTTTATACGCGATTCAAAATTGATCGCGACGATCGCGAATTTTGACGGACAGTCAAACATATCCAACATTCGTAATTATCGAAGATGCAACTAAAAAGTGCTTAAATGTATCAAAAAGCGGACAAAGTTTACGGTGCAATTAAGTTAATTGAACTAAATATCTCAAAATCAACGATTCGTCGCATTTTATTTGAACAATTGGATCTGGTTCTTACTTTATTCCGCACACGTTGAGTGATAACCAAAAATTGGGCTTACCGACTGATGCGCTAAAAATTTTGTTATGATTTCTTATTTTAAAAAATAAAAAGAAATTATGTGTGAATATCGACAATCGCTTATAGCGACAGGATTTCGCCAGTCCCTTAAAAGTTGGTTTTAGTGATTTCAATTGTAATTTTACTGCTAAGGAATAAAACACTTGGCTACAAAGAACCTCTAAACATATCATAATTAAATTAAAAATAATCAAATTAAATTAAAAATTATTTTTTATTTTAAATGATTTTTTTTTAATTATATTTTTTCTTTTAATTTAATTTTATACTTTACAACGCTACTATAGTCTAGTTTTGAGATAAAATAATGCTTAACAAATAATTGTATTTAGGAAAAATGTATTACCCCCTAAACCTAAGAAATTATTTAAATACATCCATGATAGCAATAACCTCAACACCTTATAACATAATTTGTACATACATAAAAGTTAATCCTCGTCTTATATACTTATATACATATATGTAAAACCTTGGTTAGATAGCGCTTAAATGATACAGTTTACAATTTTGCTTTACCTAAATATTTGTTCTCCTGTACATTTTAAATTGCAGCAAAACTGATTACAAATAAAAAAATAAAAATATAAATACTATGAAACATATCTATATATATTCGAAATTTTCCTTTTATATTAAGTTTTTATCATTTTGTCCTTATTCCGTACAAAAAAGGCAAATTTAAGTTTTGTTTCATTTTTTTGCCCAAAATTAATGATTATTGGTAAAGTTGTAAAGTATGAGTCAAAACTATTCACTATATTATGAGAGAATGAATAAAAATGAAATTTTTAAATCATGGTGAATATGCATAGAGAGTCCTAAAAGAAGGATATTGGTACAATGCTCGCTTTCTCAAAAAGTTACAAAAGGTGAATGATTCTTTCGTTTTAAAAATACAAAATAATCACTATTGGTGATCGATCATTGATGGGCTTTTCAGTCGCATTGTCCCAATTCGAAACAGATGCGTGTGTCGCTCTAATGGCCCATTCTAAGCTCAGCTCAGCTCTGCTCTGCTCCGGTCCAGTCCGCTCAGCTTATGGCTGATGAACTTTTCTTCCAATTTAAATGGCCGAAGTGGGCCACAACCGCAAGAAGCAGCCAAGTAGCGAACGAAGCGCGGAATGCAACAATGACTGGCAATTTGGAGTGCCAACTGCTGCGAGTCAGGCCGAAACGGAACGGAACGCAACGGAACGCAACGGAACGAAGTGGCGTAGAGAGGGGGCCGACCAGGCCGACGGGTGACATCGTTTGAAGAGCTTTGCCTTGTCATCCGCATATTTCTGACCACAGAAACTGGACTGAGCAGCGACTGCACTGCAGGCTTTGAAAACTGCTATGGCTATGACTATGGTTAGTTGACCGAAAACCTGTTACCAATTTCAGTTGAGGAAAAACTCACGTGACAGTGTGTGTGTGTGTGTGTGTGTGTGATGAAAATTCGAAAACTTTCAATGCTGCTTTTTTCGCTTGTCTGCTTACTGGTTGCTCTTGCCACTTATAGGTACGAGTCGTACTCGTATGTTTGCTTGTATTGGGAAATGCGAGAAGAGCCTCAGATCACAATTTTGTGAACAATAACAAAACGGGTTTTTTTTTTCCCAGTGCCGCCTGCAAATAGACGAATCATGATCTGCATCTGCCTACTAACTGGCCAATCATTACAAAAATGATCGCCTCATATGCTAAACGAGCGAACAGCAGCGAAGTGCAGAGAAGTGCAGACGAAAAGGAGTGGCTGAGAATTTTATAATCGAGCAATAACCTTTTGTCATATATAACATCATCAATTGATCGGAGTCGGAATGAGAATGCCAAAGGAAAAACAACGAGAAGCAAAACAAAAGGCAAAACAACAAAAAAAAAAACAATCACTTATTGAGGGTCATTCGATTTGATAAACAGTCAGTCAGTGGCAACGAGCATAACTGAGAGAAACCTCTTCAACGTGTTTTGTTCAGGTACATATACATACTTGTATATAGTCTGTATATATAGTATAAGTGGCAAGTGCAGGTGAAGCCATTTGTCCCATGCATGGTCAATCCGGAGCTATGCAGGAAAATTCTATTGTCTGCCAATGGGCACAGTCTCTTGGTCTCTTCTTCTGCTTAGAAACAGAGACTGCCATTCAATAATGCAGTTATCGTTATAAGCCAACAAGTCGATAAATAAATGCAACAACAACATTTAATTCAGAGCCATGCGTAGGCGATAGCACCCGTGACCCGTGTATCCGAAGGGTGAAAGGGTATGAGCAGCAAATAGACAGAAGGGGAAGTGGCAGACCTCGTGTTATAGATACATACATACTATACTATATGTGATCAGCATGAAAATCGAGACGAATCAATGTAGAGATGTCTGTCTGTATGAACGCCGAGAACTTTTAAACCAAAACAGCAGGGCCCTCCTAATTTGTTATGTGGCCTTGTCTCTTCCACATACAGAGCAGGTTTACTGTAAGTCATATATTACTTCATTATTTTATATAGCTGCCATGGCACCGATCGGTAGAGAAAACACTCTAAGGAGGATGACTTTTTTGGTTATTCGATTATCTTAAGCAAACTTGGTAATTATAAGTAATGCATAGTGTCTCAGAATAATATTCAGTTCTCTTCAAAATCGGCTCACTATATCAGATAGCTACCATAGGAATGACCGATCCAAAAATCACTTACTTCCAAAAAA